AGCGCCAACTGCCTGTGCCACCTGGGGAGCTTTCTTTGTGAACTGGCTCCTCCTGTACTTGGCCCCCAAACTTAGAGCCATCTTCACAGTAGCTGGTGCGCTCCATCTGCTGTTGCTTAACAAGTTTGAACTGTTTCATTGTGAACTGGGTGAAGACTCACGGCCACGCATCGGTTTACAGCCAACCTTCCATACACTGTCTGTCTTATTCCGCTCATTGCATTCCCCACAATGTAACATGAGGTACCCAACTTCCTGTGCTACCTATTGCCATTCCTCCTTCTGCATGCGGTCTTTGAGTAAATGCTACCCATTTGCTTTCCATTGGTTGATTAAGGTATGCATCCCTCACTAGTGTTCTTGTTCCCACCACACATCTATTGTTCAGCCGAAAACTGAGCCACAGAAGTGTGGTCAATTCCATACCTGAAGCTAGAGAAAGGGCCAACGTCTCAGAGGCTCCACCAGTCTCTGTCCTACCAGCACGTCTGGCCTCTTCTCCTCTTTAACGTCTTATTGTGAATTAGGTGGGGGTTATGTAGTAGAGCAAACCTGGTCTCTTTTTTAATTTGGAGCTTTGTTCCACATTTTTCTCCCACTCTATCCAGGACCTTCCGCTGTGATCCCTTTCAGAGCAGTAGACATGGCAGCTGGGCACCATCTAGTTCCTCTGGACTCAAGAGCTGTGTAGACTGATATTTGTGTGGTTCATTAGTCCATTGGACTGATTGTTCCTATGTCTCTTTCTATTTTCACCACTTTTCTTTCTTGGTGACAAGGAGAGACCAACAGCTGCCACTTTGTATTTTGAGGACCCAGTGACATTCTGTTGTACACGAGGTAGCCACGAATCAGAGCTGGCTCCAGGGCTGTTGACATCAGAGTGCTGGGCTAGGTCAAAGCTATCTGTGGGAAGTGAGATTGGTGCCTGATCTCATGGAAGTGTAGAGCCTCTCTGGTGAAGACAAACGATGTGAGAGGGTGGACATTTCAATCCAAGAGAGTCAAAGTATACGCAGAAGCCACCTGAGCAAGGAGGCATTATTCTCCCTCAGTGTGGCTTGGGACAATGACCACTGACGCAATGACTGACATCAGATGAGACGACAGGAACCAGAGGTACTGTCAGTCTGATGACAACGTAGTAAGATCAGCCAATATCTCGCCTCATGCCGACACACCCTTGGAAATTTGCATGGCACTGGTATAAAATCCCCAGACCCCGCCCTCTGTGCGGTGCAGAGGAAATGCCCAGGGACTATTTCTACTTCTCTGAAGCCGAGGGTGGTGTGGTTGGGAAGGACGTGGGTTCCAGCATGCCTGGAGGAGTGGCTCTGGAGGAGATCGTTTGCCTCTTGACCGCTCACTTTGCTCACCTGACAAATGGGACTGATGCCTGTGGAGCACTCAGTGTGAACATCGCTTGGTGTCGGGTCTCTAAAGGGAAACAGTAACAACAACAACAGAAAACACAAAAAGAATGAAAGTATCCCTGCCCTTGATCTCTCATTTCCAGCGTTCCCTGCGGACACAGTTCCGAGGATCCTGGGGAGACAACATGATCATTCTTCATAACCCTGGAGTGGGGTGGAGCTGGTTTCACCCCCAGCTTTCCCCTCGTGACCCTGGGCAAGTCACCGAGTCTGAGTTTCCACCTTTTGAAAGAGGGGATGAACCCCCACCTCCTAGAACTGTGCATGGGATTGGGAGCACCCTGAAGGGCAGTCCCTGGGTACCGACAGGTGGCGAGGGGCCAGCTCTTGGTAAGCGACCCCTGCAAGAGTTAAGAACCATTTATTTTGGCCAGGATAAAGTGCATGACTTCATCACGACATCATGGGCAGGCGACAACTGGCCGGGAGGGAAAGCGTCTTCCGGGAATGTTCTCCACAACACATGCCGCTCCTGAATTCCTGGACCACCCCAGTCATCTGCCCCAGCAGTGAATGAACGTCCAGAATTAAGAATCCACTTCCTAAAAAGGAAACGATGAACTGATACGAACATGGGGAAATATGACGGGAGAGTGCAATGCCCTCCTCGACTAGCCAGAAGGCTGATGGTGGTTGGAGTCCACCCAGAGAAAGGCCTGAGCATCTGCTTCCGAAAGGCCACGCAGGGGATATTCTCTGGAGTAGTTTTGTCCAGGAGCTAGAATTGATGCCCCAACTATTTGGTCCTCCCTTAAGAAGGGATTAGGATCACCTGTCATTTATATATATATGACAAGTGTATACACACACAAATTAGGATCACCTGTCATTTATATATATATGACAAGTGTATACACACACACACATATCTTTGTTTGCGGCAAGAATCCAAATCAGTGTGACCTATAAGGAGCCCTGATGGCTTCAGTTGGGCTGCTAACCACAAGATCAGTAGTTCGAAACCACCAGTCGCTCTGAGGGAGAAAGCTAAGGCTTTCTACTCCTGTACAAAGTGAGTCTCAGAACCCCCTGGGCAGTTCTACCCTGTCCTACAGGGTCACTGTGAGTGGAATCCACTCAGTGGCAGTGGGTTTGTGGTTGTTTTTCATGGTATAGTCAGATAAAACCAGCGACCACAACCCTTCCTGAGGCCCCCTTCCCCACGCTCCATGGTAACCACACCACCCAAGTGATTGTGGGCACCTTAGCTCTTCTGGCACCGAACACTTCCACAATTTCACCTCATTGGCAGCACCTCCCAGGACAAGCCCTTTCTGCTGGAACCACCTGAGCCGCCAGCCTCTGGGCTCTCTGGAATCCCTGCTAGGAAGGAGCCCTCTTACTCACCAGACGGTCCCCACCTGCACCGGTGGCGCCTGTACCTGCTAGATGCTTGAAAAAGTCTGGCTGAAGGGAGAATTCCCGAAAAGGGCTTATCCAAACCAAACCCTTCCGACCTGGCGTCCCCACGTGTGTTAGTGTGGAACTGCACCCTGCAGCCGGCTCGGCTGTGAGCGTTTAGAAGCAGATCAGGAGGCCTTTCCTGCTGGCAGCCGAGTAGGTTTGAAGCCCCAGCCCCTTGCTGAGTGGCAAGGCAGCGAGTGATGTCAGTTGAAGGCGCGCTCACCACCGTCTTTTGACCCGGAGCCGGGACGCTCATTGAGGAACCTGTCGGGAGTTCCGCTTCCTTTCCCTTCCCTAAGCCATAGCCTTGCAAAAAACCACCTCGAAGGTCCAGGTTTGGGTTTCTTTAAAGTGGAGTGAGAACTTGGGACACTCTGGAGATGCAGATGCTCCCATTTTCTTCCCGTGGAATCAGTGCTATTTTGAGGCCGGGGGTGGGGCGTGGGGTGTAGCTCACCTTCGTCGGACTTCTCCAGAGCATTCAAGGTGCAGCCCCATCTCTTGGCTTGGGTCAGGCTGGGTTCAGTTGCATATCGTGATAAAAAGCACAACTGACACGGATTTGGGGGCACATGTAACTGACTGCTTCTAGGCATCCGACACAGGAGCCCGGGTGGCAGAGTGGGTCCAAGTTGGGCTGCTAATCACAAGGTCAGCAGTTTGAAACCACCGGCTGCTCTGCGAGTGAAAGATGTGACTTCCTAGTCTTCAATGAAGAGCTAGTCTTGGAAACCCACAGGGAGAATTACACCCTGTCCCACAGGGTTGCTGTGAGTTGGTGTGGACTCGATGGGAGTGAGTCTGGACACATCCTGTGAGCCTGGTTGGTGGTTTGAACCCAGTCTGTTTCTTTAGAGAACCTTTTTGCTGTGACCTTGGAAATCCCGTGGGGGCGGTTCCACTCTGTCCTATGGGGGCTGAGTCACCATCGACTCGATTGTAACAGCACAGGCAGACTACTCTTGTCCACTGGCTTTGGTGTCACCATCACTCAGGGGCAGGAGAGGATGTTTGAAAAGAGAATCTTGTAGGCGTTGTCACATGGAGTCTGACTGAAGGTGACCCCATGTCTCTGATCTTTTGGCAGAGCACCAGTTTTCCCTCCAACCCACCTTTGGGTGCTTGTGAACCAAATTCACCACCCACTTTGCAGCCAGCCCAGAGCTTAAGCATTCACGAAGGGCATCTTGCAGAGGGGCTCCCTCCCCTGTTCATCAGATAGGTTTGTCTCTGCTCTTGCTATGCAGACGGGTCTGTGGACGTGACAGCAGGGTGCAAGCAGCCTGGTGAGCCCCCTTCTCCTCCTGCTGCTGCTGGGCTTCCTCGCGGTGGAGTTGAAGGCTTCTCACAGAATGAATGGTCTCCTCCTGTGCTTTGTGTTGGAATCCTAACCCCCAGCCCTGTGGAGAGGAGCCCACTGGGAAGATGGTTTCTTTGTTCTGTTACTGAGGCCATATCGGTGTAGGGTGTGTCTTAAACCCAGAGACTTTTCAGGTGTAAAAAGAGCAGATTAGATGAGAAAAGACAGGGGCACCCATGCGATGATCTGAGATGCCACTTGGAGATTGCCAAGGACCCGAGGGCCCCTGGGGCTAAAGAAGCTGTCATGAGGCTCCCCGCACTGCACCCCATCCCAGGTGTCAAAGCAGAGCTGCAGAGCCATCCTCTTCATGGACACAGGTTTCCAGGCCTTTCTTCCACGGCACCACGATGTGGGGCTGCACCCCGACCTTCATGTCAGGAGACCAATGCAAACGTGGCCTCACCCGCAGGATCTTCCTGATGGGCCTCCTGGGCCGCTTCTTTCACGGGACTCAACTTCTCTCTTTTTCACCTTATTCCACTCGGACTGTGAGTCCAGCCTCTGGGCCACCCCGCCACAAACCATGGTAGCAAGAAACACACAGCCAGGTTTCTGAAAATCAGCCTTTTAATCTATTTGAATTCAATGAGTACGGGGAAAGTCCTAAGACATTGGTTTTTTTCATTCGCTGGAGACTTTATTTATAAGAATAAGAAGTCAGAGGTGTCCCTTCCATAGGAAACTGGCACCCCCGATGTCCTCAAAGTTTTTTTTTTAATTTTTAAAAACCACACATAAAAGTGGAATTTCAACTCATGTGCATGCCATCCATTCCCCCACCCCCAGCCCTCCCGCCCCACCCCTTGCAGGCGCACATACTCACACAGGACAGGCGATGCCTTCTATAACTGGGGACAGAATATAGAAATGAAAAAAAAAAAAACCACCTAGTGGCCGCAGACACCAGAAATAACCAGATGTAACGGACACCCACATCAATCAGCTCTTCAGCAGAAGGGAAGCGCCCCAAGTGGAATTGGGGCCAAGCATTACACATGGCAGGGGCGTGAGCTATCCATAGAGGTCATTAAAAAACTGGACACTGGGCGCTCCCCTTCATTACAAAAGTATGCAAACCATTTTGATATAAATGGGAAATGGGTGGGCAGCTCTGGCCCAGGGCCAGGAGAGCGGAGCTAAAATTCCCTGGTGGAATTCCAGCCAGACCACTGCCTCTCCCTTTCAGGACTACAAGGGAAGGGGGCAGAGGGGCGTGGCACGGTGAAGACCCACCCCAAGGGCCAGTGAGGCAGCCCTGGGCTGCAGGGAGGTCGAATGCTGGTGCGGAGGTGGTGCAGGGCTGTCTGACTGGTTCCCCCCACCTAAGGCCTGGGGACCCGTGGCTGACAGAAGAGACAGAACTAACTGGGGGGTGGTGGGGGGTGGTGGTGGTGTGTCTCAGAGAAAGGCTTCCTGTCTGCATGTGAGTGCACACCAACTGCGTCTAGTTCTCAAAGATGCCTTCCTAGTCCCCTGCTCCCCTCACCCGCTGCAGCCGCCATCAGGGAGGTGGGATGGGGCCCCTCTGCTAAGCGATGATGCTGTCACCACCCAGCCAAGATACTGAGGCACATTGGTTGGGGTTCGGGGGTGGGGTGGGGACAGGAAGGCCATGACTGGCCCAGTGGGCAGACTTACATCTCCAAAGCTCCTGCCAGACAACTGGGCACCTGCCTTTCAGAAGGAAAGGAGAGGGGTGAGGAGGTGCTGACAGTCTCAGGGCTGGGCTGGGCAGGAAGGGAAGGAGCAGAAAGGGGGTTCCTTCAATGGCGCCAGTTCCGAGGGCATCACCTGGGAAGTACCATCCTCTGTAGATGGCGCCAGGTGGGCAGTACCTGTGGGCAGCCTGCTCCAAGGCTCAGTGCCCAGGGCCAGTTGGCTGTGGGGGTGGGCGGTGGGGGTGGGGCTACATGATTAGTGTGGCCAAAGGGTGGGGCTGCAAGATTGTCAAAGCCTGGCTGAGAGCTGGTCCAGTGGGGGGTGTGGGGAGGCTGGGCTGTTCCACCAAGAGGGAAGAGCTGCAGTCCTCCTGGGGGGTGGTCCCCAATAGCCCTGAGCACCCCCCCCCACCTGCCCCCTGTTGCCTGACTCTGGTCTGGGGGCTCCCTTCAGGGCAACACAACTCCAGGTAGTGAAAATTTTCTTAAATCAAACAAGGGGAGAAGAGGTAGCTACAAAAACATGAACCACCCCTCGCATCCCCACCCCCCTCCCACCACCTCCGGGATGCAGCCTTCCTCCGGGGCCAAACGGAGGGCAGGGAACCCAGGGCTGGGGACGCTGGGCAGGCAAACCCAGCGCCCTCAGCTGCAAGGCCGGGCGGCCTCAGTGCATCTTGCCCAGCTGGGTCTTCTTCCAGGCCTCCGATGCTGTGAAGATGCAGGAGTCCAGGATGCCCGCCACAGTGAAGGTCCCTCCGATGATGGCACAGATCTGGAGTGGCGAGTGGGGAGATCAGAGGTCAGCACAGGGGACAGGGCCAGGCCCCACCCAAATCACCAGCTTGGTGGGGGGCACCTCAGTGCAGGGCCTTCATGCTGACCCTGTGGTGACCACCATGGGGTGGTCTGGGGCACTCAGAGGGCTCAAAAGCACAACTGCAGGAGGAGGGATTTAATGGTAGTCACATGACCCAGCCCTGCTGGGGCTGTGGTTACAGGCTTGGCTGCTCACTGAAAGGTCAGTGGTTCAAACCCACCAGCTGCTCCTTGGGGGAAAGAAGAGACTGTCTGCTCCCATCAAGATTTCTAGCCTTGGAAATCCTAGGAAGCAGTTCTGCCGTTCTATAGGGTGGCTGCGAGTTGGAATCAACTGGACGGAAGTGGGTTTGTTTGTTCGAAAAGTGACCACTTTGAGCCAGGAGAATTACTGTCATAGGTTTTTGCAGTGTGTGTGTGTGTGTGAACGCAGTTGTTGATTCATTATTTACATCATGGGAGCCAAGATGATATAACTCTGGGTGGCCTACTGTATTTTCAGAACTTCTCCAAGAGAGTAAGATGCGGCTGTCTGAACAGATGGTATAAAAT